TCTCTCTCTCTCTCTGTGTGTGTGTGTGTGTGTGTGTGTGTGTTCTCTCTCTCTCTCTCTCTCTCTCTCTCTCTCTCTCTCTCTCTCTCTCTCTCGCTCGCTGTGTGTGTGTGTGTGTGTGTGTGTGTGTGTTGTGTGTGTGTGTGTGTGTGTGTGTGTGTGTGTGTGTGTTTCCTTTATTGAGTACAACCACGATGTGGTGGTACCAACGGAACATTGGGACACATCTACTTCAATTTTTATTTTTATTTTTATTTTTATTTTTATTTATTTTCTATGTTGGACTTGAGTTAGAAACCAGCTGAAGGGGGGTTCCAAGGATTTTTGAAAATTAGGGGTGTTCCAGATCAAAAACAAGGAATCCACCGTTGCAAGCATAAGAGAGGACAAAGAGGGAACTTATGCACCAGAAACAAAAAGAAAGAGGCAATCAAGGGAGAACGCAAGTTGACAAAAAAGGGTACAAATCAATGGCATGAGCCTTCAAAAATTCAAAAATTATGAGAGGAAGAGGGAGCCCAAAAGGACTTGTGGATGAGCAAAGACTAGATGCATTGCTTTCCGACATGGAATGCTTTTGGAATGCAATTCAAAAGTTTTCCAGCACATGGCGTAAAGGTGGGAATTCAAGAACAACGAACATAACTGCGCCTTTCTTCCCTAGGTCTCCTCTTTTATGCATCGTGTGAAACAAAATGTTAAGAAAGGGGCAGTCAAGAGAGAATGCAACTTCGCTGGAAAGGAGGCAAATCGATCGCATAAGCATTCAAAAGTCCGAAGATAATGTGCGTAAGAGGGTTGGCGGATGAGCAAAGGCTAAACGCATTTCTTCCTGATATGAAAAGGTTTAGGAATAGATTGTGAGTCTCGTTGCTATTCACCAGCTCCCATACATGCAGCGCAAAGGTCAAAATCGTGGAAGAACGATCATAATTGTATTTTTTCGTTGGTCTTCTGCTCTACGCACCTTATGTGGACAAAGCCTCAGGCAAACACTTGGGTATATGTTGTTCTCGTTTCCAAACCTCACAAAATGTTTGTGGCTAACACTTGGGTACAAAGGGTCTAGGGATTACAAGCAACTGTTCGAGAGGCAAAAATAGGGAATAAGGCAGGAAATAAGTTTTTACAGTCAGATAACGTTTAAGATACGTATAACATGAGCGACAATCCTGATGGGGGAAAAACAAGGTGGTGGATATGAGCCGGTACTTATAGTACATCCTATTCACATACATTGGATTGATCATCATAATGGGTGGAAAAACGCATACAAGCACCACTATGAATACCGATATTTGAGGAAATAAGAAAGCAATCATACTACTTATCATATTTTCATACTCAAAATGAAGAGCAAATTTCAAAAAACACAATTACTCTTACTCATATTAACATAATGTTATACAACATGCGCAAGTTTCTTATCATGCAATTGATCACCTTCACAATCCATCACTAAAAGCCTCCACAAATGCTTCAATTTCAATAATAAACCAATTTATTGTGTGGCTTCACAGATCATCCTTTATAGTTTTTGTAACACATTGGGTCTCACCAAAAATATAAATTGAGTCCATCATATACAAACATTCCCACGTATCAACAACCGTTTGTCTTGCTCCCTAATGCATACCAGCTTGTCACCCTGCTTGATCTTGCATCGTTGAAATCAATGTTTGAGCACTTGCAACACTTCATAATGTATATGTTACGCCAAAATGTGGCTACCAGTACATCGAGACTCTTTACACCTCAAGTACCATATCCGATTATTTTGCATACATCACTTATGACATATGCAAAGATGGAGAAGGAGAGAAAATTGTAAGTATGAGATTCATGACATGTTATTGTACGGGTGACGGGGTACTGAGCTAAGGTGACGGGGAAAGACATATTCGATGTTGGAAGGGGGGTAAACCTGTGGGAAAAAAGTGATAAAAAAAAAGTGCATGATTTAATTTAGGTGTAGTGAGAGTTTTGACTTGACACCACTACATCAGTCCAACACCCACCCGTCTTACTCAATCATACATCAGAAAGAAGAAAAAGGTAAAGGGGTAAGGGTGAATGGTGTGAAACGTGGAAGTCGAAAGGGTTTGGTGAGCAAGTTAGTTAGGGTCATGTA